TGAGAAAATTGTTACACAATTGCTGTGATGGGAATAAAAATGACTCAAGAAGAGCTAGGAGCAATTAAGACCACTTTTCAAATGTCTTTATTATCACATCATTCTGTTTTGGAAAATTTGGCTATTTTATATTAATACTTTTACTCCTAGTAACTTACTCTCATGCACCACTGGTTGCCAGTTGGATTTTAGACCTCTTTACCTGACATTATCATAAGCCTGAAAGGGAGACCACATCCCTAGCTTTCTCACCTGATGCGTCCATTGTCTTGAAGGACTTACTCTGTCACTCAGAATTGTGTCTAATCGCACCTGCTGTTTCTTTCTAGAGTTTCTAGAGCTATTTCTCCACTATACTAATCCCAGTTGAATTCCTAATACTCCCTGAATGTTTATCACTCTTTTCTTCTGCCTTCCTGATGTCCTTTGAGCTTTTTAGAGAATGGGGCATGAGCTGTGGATGACAGGCTTTTTTCCACAATGATTTGTATGTGTGGAGTTCATCAGCACAGTGAAAATGCATGCCTGGGTGCATTCACTGAGCCATTTCAAAGCTCAAGTTGATAGGATTTTCTCTTATTTTTTATCGTTTCATTCTTGGCTTTTGCCATTTTTATCACCGTTGCTAAAACTGAGGGACTTGTTTGAACCTCCTGAGGAGAGGAACCAAGTTTTTAACTCTTAAATGCTGTATCTTATCAAGCATTGAAACCAAGTGGTAGATATTTTCATCTCCCTCCCTTTCCTGTACATTAGGACAGAGGAAGTGGATCTTGAAGCCACTAAAATGAGTGTGTGTGTGCTGTGGGTCACTTTTTTGTGAGTCAGCAGCTAATGTAAGCACTTCTACATCCTGGGTGCTGGGCTTTTGTAAAGCTTGGACTCTCCAGCATAGGGATCAGCCCTTCTCCAGGGACGTGCCAGTTTCTGATCGTAAACGCATGTTCTCTGTCCCTTACGTTAATTGTTCAGGTAGTCCCCAACTTAGGGTTCCAGAAACTCCAATGTAAGTCAGGCCTGAGCTAAGTAGAACATGAGCATACTTCATGTTGTTGCGTTTCACAGATACTGTGGGGTTTGTGTTGTGTTGTTTTTTTTTCCCCAAGATACTGGGGGGTGGTTTTGTTTTTTTTTAACAAGTTGAATCATGGCAACCTTGGCAACCAGGCAAATCTGTCTTTGCCATTTTTCCAACAGCATGTGCTCACTGCATGTCTCTGTCACATTTCGGTAATTCCCACAATATTTCATACTTTCTGTGTACTTTATGGAAGTTGAGGATCTGGAATATGATTCTCTTGTCACTGTCCTTTGCCAGTGTAGCCCCAGACAGTATTGGTATTTCCCCCAGGGGGACCTGCACCCCTGTTGAAAGCCACCAATAGGGAGAATGACTATGTAGTAACTGGTTGGTAGGCAGTTTGGGCTTAAGTACAAGTTTCCTTGAAAATTTGAAACAGTACTTCTGTAGTCAGTGGTTGACCACCTTGGGGTAAGGTGGATTATAGGGAACAGTGGTCCTGTAAAGGTTAGTCTTCATCTTTCTTGATGCTGGTCACCTCCCCTTGCTTCTGCTTTGTTTAAGGCATAAGGACTCTGATTTGCTTTCATGTTCTTCCAGGTCAACAGCTAGAAATACTCTCTTGCAAGATTAGTAATTAAACCTCAGGAAATGACTTGCCTTCTCAGGTCTCTCTGGCCTGAAATACCCCTGGAGTTGCTGTTTGGTTCCAAACAGATGCATGAGGAAGGAGGATGAGGCCCAATTAGCACGATGTCATCTTTGGACAGAGACAGACCCTTCTCTTGCACTTACGTGTGTACACAGGTGACATGTACAGCCACGATGGCAATGCTGACGAGCCCGAGTGGGTAAAAACAGAGCGGGAGCAGTTCGTGGAGTTCCGAGATAAGAATCGAGACGGGAAGATGGACAAGGAAGAGACCAAAGACTGGATCCTTCCCTCAGACTATGATCATGCAGAGGCAGAAGCCAGGCACCTGGTCTATGAATCAGACCAGAACAAGGTGAGTCGGCCAGGCCCCAACAGCCTGCCTTCATCTAAGTCTAGTTCTAGAGGATTGCCCAAAAAGTCCCTGTGAAGGGCCGTAGAGCGTTGGAGATTTTGATTAGTCTGAGTCTGCTGAGGATAAATCCGCTTACCTCTGGGGACTGTCCAGTGGCCTTCATCAGTTACCTGAGGCATTTGGTTCATTAGTGTGGTGTTGTCATCAAGCTCTGTCACCTTTTTCAGAAACTGTAATCCCCTGCTTAGAGTAAGCTGAAAATTAGGCTGAAGATGGGGATTTTTGTGTTCTGAAAGCTGCCTAGGCTGATCTGCAGTCTCAAATGATTGTAGAGCTTTTTTTTTAGGATCAGTCATTCTGAGTTCTTGCCCAGGGTCATTTCAATCACTAGGTGCTCTGTCCTGTGATAGATGAGAAAAAGAAATTCATTGAGCCTTCGAAGGCTGGCCGAGCTCATTTTAGAGATGAGTGTTGGAACCTTCGTTGGCATGGAGATGGGGACCCTGCTTGAGGGTCAGCAGATTCCGTTGATCTGTGATTTGCTTTGAAGTCTGGCCCAGCTCTTTGTGACCATCTCTTAGCCGCGTCTAGATACTGTCCCACGTTGCCCTGTAAAGAACGTTTGCTCCTCAGGAGGTAAGCCTGCATCTGCCGCGGCACTGAGCTCTTGAGCTAGGTTTTGTCCGTCTTCCACTTAGTTTTCCTGATAAGCTAAGTGGACTCATTGCTATGTTCTTCCCTCTCTTTGTCTGTGTAGAGGGGTGAGGGTTGAGCTCACATTTCATTTAATGGGCATTAGAATCTTAAATCCTGCCTAACCCCTGTTGTTCCCTAGCAGTGGTTCTTAACTTGGAGCGGGAAGTATATGCTGCTTCAGTTGACTGCACTCTTAATTCCAGGATGGCAAGCTTACCAAGGAGGAGATCGTTGACAAGTATGATTTGTTCGTGGGCAGCCAGGCCACAGATTTCGGGGAGGCCTTAGTACGACACGACGAATTCTGAGCTGCAGACGGAGGAGCCTGCATCTCTTCAAAAGTAATTTATTTTTACAGCTTCTGGTTTCCCGTGAGATTGTTTTCGCTACTGAGACTGTTAACACGGACTTTGAACACGTGAAAAGGCATAACAAAGACCATCCCGTCCCCGTTCCTCCTCCTCTCCCAGGGACTGGAGGGGAACTACTCATAATGATGACACTTGTGTTTGTAGATTTACATTTCGTATTATGTATAACGTGTTGTGTTTATTTTTGTATTTGTTCTTTGGTTGGGAGTGTGATATGAAGGATCGAGATCCTCCTCTTACACTTGTAGGCAAACATTAGTCCTTCTCTCTTTCTCAGCCCCTTGCCATCTTTATAATTCTTACTTAACTAATTCTTAAGCCTGAGATCAATAGCAAATGTTCAGGGGAGAGAAAAGGAAGAATACAGACCTCGCAATTTCTATTTAGAGAGCGAACACCTACCCTGCCTGCCCCAGGCTGTAACACTTCGCAGGTTGTGGGGGCCTCGTGTTCCATTCGGTTGCTGTGGATCCAGCAACTGATCCTGGTATCATCTGGGCGAGGAATGATCCCTGTGCTGTAGGAAACCTTGGCTCAACTTAGTTGAGTTCCTTTTTTTATTCTTTTTTCCCCCCTGTAGAACTAGCCATTTGCTAATTTTGTCAAGCACAGCTGTGGTGGGAAGAGTTAGGGCCAGTGTCTTGAAATCAATCAAGTAGTGAGTGTGATCTCGTCATAGCTATAGATAGAAGCAGCTGGAAAACTAAAGGAAACAAGCAAGTGTGTCCCGGGCATGCGTTTTTCCTGGGTGTGCGTCTCCAGAAATGCTCGAGAGAGTCCTGCCTATCGAGGTCACTGTAAAGGGCCCCGCCCGGCTCTTCTTCCCTCAGGTGTTCAGTTGAACCAAGGAATCAGTCTTGTTTCATTGCAATTAAAATGTCCTCTTCCCCAGTCATGTCATTGAAAGTGCCTTTAACTGACAAGAGAAGTGATTACCAAACAGAGATTCTCATAAGAAACCGTAACATAAAGACAAGATTATCTGGACCACCTTATATGAAAGCTTAGAACCTCCCAGTATATAATGAGGAGTTAGTTTTTTTTCTTCCTTTTGTCTTCTGGACAGTTGTTAAATAGCAGTATTAGTTAGGAGCTCGGGTGCAGTGTTCTCACCTTACGGCTGGTTTCCAAAAACCACATGCTGCTGAATTTACCAGGGATCCTCGTACCTCAGAATGCAAACCACTTACTACCAGGCCTCTTCCTGTGTCTGCTGGTGGGCTGACCTCAGGCTCAAAGATGAGAGGACCCGCAGAGAGGGCTTGTTTGCGTTTGAGAACTGTTGCTCACCCTGCCTTTGAGTCACTCCCCTGTTCTCCCGTGTCCCCCACTCCCCTCAGATGTTTGTTAGGGATCGACAGGTCGCCAGCTGTAATTGAAGAGAAGGATATTGTAGAAAGAACTGAAGAGACTACCGCCCTCTGTTCCCAACTCCACTTCACCTATATTTTACAGAACATGAACTCTTGTCTTCTTTGGTCCCTTTCTTACAGATGGACCTCTTTTGAAAAGAGTTATTATATTCCAAGTTTTTAACCCTCAGGTTACTAAGACAAGCATATGTATATATAATCTTTATTATTTCATGTATCTTTCTGGATAATACAATCAGGTGGTGCTGGGTGATTACTATAATCTGAACCTAGGTATATCCTTTGGTCTTCCATGATCATGTTGAGGTGGGCTGCTAGGTATGGTAAAAAGCCAAGTATATAACTTTACCACAGGCTTCAAAGTGAGCTCTTGATAATGGGTACACCCTTTAAAAAAAAGTTTAACCCCAATAAAGGGAAATGGAAGTTGTCTGCTCTCCAGATTCCCATTTTTATTGTTTAGAAGACTAGGGATGATAGGTCCAGACCACCACCCTGACTTGGTTAGAGAGGGCGCGTCATGAACTGTGTGGCAGGAGAGCCGGCAGCTCACTCGGTGTGTGGAACCCAGGCCTTACGTGAGGGTCGCCCACTAGAAAGCAGACCTTACTCTGCCAAGACAGCAACTCTGGATCTGGGAGCTCAGCAGCAGGCATTTAATTTGATTTCCCTGGGTTGTATTTTTGGTTGAAGTCAAGCTTGAGGCTGGTGAACAGTAGCTGCACACCCACATTGTGTGTTCTGTGAATGCTAGCTCTCTTGAATTTGGATACTGGTTATTTTTTATAGAGTGTAAACCAAGTTTTATATTCTGTAATGCAAACAGGTACCTATCTGTTTCTAAATAAAACTGTTTACATTCATTGTATGTGTGTCCTTCATTCTGGAAGATGCCACCAAAAGGGAGCTCCCCAGACGGTCTCCCATAGTCTCCCCGCCCCCCCACCCCCACCCCCAGGCCCAGGGAAAGGACTGCCCCTCCCAGACTGGCTGCTGCTTTCCTCCGGTTTCTGAAAGCTTCAGCATCCTCACCACCACTCTAGCCCTTCTCCTTGCTCCTTAGGCCACGTGACTGGAGAGCAGCCCAGCTGCTCATGACGTAATTATCCGATACCAAACACAAGCCACTCCTGAGTGCAAACACAGCATTTGTCTTGATTTTTATTTCAAAAAGGTTCTTGGAGGGAATGGGAAGAAAGGATATAAGGTCAACTTTTAAAAGCATTGTGGTATAAACAGTTTAATATAAATATTAAAGAGTGCATATTCATTTCGAGTTCATGTAGAGAGTTGAACTATTGACTTCAGGAAATGCACAGTATAAGCCAGCCAGACAGCTCTAGGGGCATGGAAGGGGAGAGGCCCCTGGAATGGTTCGTGCAGGCCCAGGACTTGGAGCATCATGGACCCTGCCCAGACTAGCAGCTGTTGACCAAGTGTCAGGACGTATTTTCAAACTCATACTGGGGGGCTACTAAAGGTTTTCATTTTGTTTTTTCCAGTTTGTTCTAACTCAGAATACCATCATCTCCGCAGGTTCCCAGAAGTAGAACAATGTTACTGAAAACATTTTACCCATGTTACCCATACACTGAGGTAAAATCAGCCTTCGTGAATCATAAATCAGCATTGAATCTCTAACTCAGTTCTGCACCTGCTCGGAAAGGTGCCACTTGGCAGCAGAAAATGATACGGCCTTTGGACTGAGCTGACGTGGTCCAGACGGAGCGGTAGTTCTGTGGGCAGGAAGGAAGGAACAGGAGGGTGAAAACTTGATCCCCAAACTACCCTTCCCCTTCTTTCTTCTGTGTTTTTGTTAATAGTTTGGTTTTAGAGAAAAAATTAAAACTTACGTAAATGTAAAATTGTAGTTGCAAACGGACCAGGATGGGCTCCTTAGTTGGGGCCCACTTGGGTAGAAGAGCTAGTAGGAACTTCCGTTTTCTGGAAGCTGGATGTGTCAGATTCGCCTGCCATGGATTTCCCACAAACCATGTTCTCGATGCAGACTCGAAACTGGAGAAGAGGGTGGGGTGGAGGTCGCCCTCTTGACCGACCAGGTAACGTCGTGAAGGGTGAATAGAGGATGTCATTCTTTGTGCCCCCAGAGCTTCCCACAGTGCCTGATAACCAGGATCTGCTCAGGCAGTTTGAATATATCTTCCCAATTCTGAAAGCCAGCTAAATAGCTACCTGAGTCTACAGTAATCCCTAAACATTCTTGCTGATTCTGAGGCCGCACTGTTAAGAAACCTCAAACTGGGTTGCCTCATGAGAGCACTCAAAAGTGGCCCAAGAGCAGGCCAGTGCACCCCACCATTACTAAGATACTCTGATTGGAAGGAGCCCTGGTGGCGTAACGGTTAAGAACTTGGTCCAAAACGTTGGAAGTTCAAACTCACCCAGATGCTTTGAAGGAGAAACACCTGGAAATGTACTTCTGTAAAGATTACAGCCTAGAAAAACTCCAGGAGCCGTCTACTCTGTCCCGTGGGGTCACTGTGAGTTGAAATAGCCCAGCAGCACACAATGACAGCTTCCAGTTGAAAAGGACTGCCAATTCTGTTATTATCCAGGAAGTTTCAAATTAGGATTGAACCCGTCTCTGGGATTAAGGAAATGATTCTCAAAGCAAGATTTTTGCTGTTAAAGGAGCTTTCCAGCTTCACCTGCGTTTGGTGCTTTATTAGCTCGGATTCAGGATTTGGGATTGGAGGCTAGCACCTGGTCTCACCAGAGCGCCTGGTCTTCAGAGGATAAACTTTTAGAGATTGTGCGTGCACTCTGATTGTTCTGCTTTGCGCATGCTCCCGATGTCTAGAAGTTGGAAAAGATTAAAAGCCCTGGAAATGGACTGGACATTCGGGAAATATTGATCATTGTTTTTTTCAAACCCTTAAAAAAAACCAAAAGAAAATCCTGCCCTTGGGAGCAACTTGATTTTTTGGCCCAAGTGCTACATCCTCTCTGAATTTTATTCTGTCAGTGACCATACCTTCTTCCCTATGCTTAACCACCGGCTTCCTAACATCTTTATCCATCCCTGGAAGCCCTCAGTGTTCTGAGTGTAAAGCAAGGCTTCCAATTGGTTCATTTGTTCGACCCCCTGCTGAGAATTTGCCTCTCCACTCGAGCTGTACCAAATCAGCGTCTACATTTTAGCAAGATCCCCAGTTCGCCTGGAAATCTTGTTTTAAAATGTCGAGTCTGATTCAGTATCTGGTTTGTAAATGTAAATTCTCAGCAGGGGCTCTAAATGGAATGAACCAGTCGGAAGCCCTGGTTTAGAGTCATTGGTGAGACAGGAGCTAGGGTCTTGTGGAAAGTCATTGGAATGTAAGGAAAGCGGTTTACCTGCTTGTTCATGAAGCAGTAGATGATGGGATTGTAGACACAAGCACTCTTGGAAAAGAAGGCAGGAATGGTGACAAGCCGTAAGTCCAGCCCATGGTTACGATTGTTGACCATGTACATGGCCAAGGCAGCATAGGGCACATAACAAAGACAGAAGGATCCCACCATCACCACCACCATGCGGCTCACCTCCCGCTCTGCCTTCTGGGT